TCAGATGTCAGTAACAAGAGATCACTACAAGAAAGTCATACGTAATACATGTACGTTACTATACATATTGCACATTGCCATATGCCTATAAAAAAAATATAATAAAATCAAGTTTAACTACCATGTGAACTCTTTTCTGCTGGATTATTATTTCTATACAATTAAAGATTATGACAAGCTTGGCAAGCTAGAGTCGAAAATTCTGCCACTGTCGGGATTTGTATTTTAACAATGATATGTGATGCATTAGTTAACATTTGTATTCCTTTTTCTAGTTGCTGTAAGAGTAGAACCGGGACCATGGGTTACTATCTTGTTAGCAATACTAAAAATCAAATACGTAGTTCGTTTATTGATGCGAATACGTTTTCCATAAATTTGGAGGGAAAATGTCTAATTTTCAAATGTTGCTAACCTCACTTTGCTGGTACTTTTATTAATCATTCAACTATCTGTATTTATGATAAACGGGTGGGAAAGAGATTCTGGAGCTCAAGAAAACGTGCACAGATTGTAATTCGATCCTATACGTCACACACAGTTTTCATTGTTCTTTGTCGAAAATAAGTCAAGTAAATAAAATACATGTAAATATTATCCCCTTGGCAGTGCGTCCAAACTTGTTAACTCCTTGTTAAACTTGTTAATCTCTGCAGAGTCTTTGTTGGTAGGGGCGATGGATTTAAATGAACTTAGTATAGGTTTCATACACGTCGCGTAAAATACGGCATCGGCCAATTTTTCGATTTCGATATATCCCGTGGCCTCGGTAAAACTTTGTCGGAACACCGCAAAGTCTCGTCATTTGCTTTGTCCAGTATTTTGCTGTTGAGCAAAGTGATTAAAAAAATAATTACCGGATTCTATTTACGACAATCTTTAAACAAACAAACAAAAATTGTCTATGGAGAACGTCCCACCGCACATATTGTAAGTCCAAGGACTTTTTGATGTTTGCACTCTAATCACACCAACCACAGCTCTGAAGCAGTATTTCTTTTTCTCTTGTGTTTCAAAAACGCTGTAACATAGCCAAATGGTACTCTAGTCAATACTAGCAAAATACCCGACGTTGCTTGGGCTTTCTTCAGATCCTTGTGAAAGAGGAAAAACATCAATTTTATATACGAATAAATCACGATGATAATATTATTTAATGAAATTGGTTCGACATTTTAATAAAAGGCTATAATTTCATATTATTTTATTTTATTTTACAATATACTGCTATTAGATTAAGCATTTTTAACTTACGCACTCCTATTGATCTCTAGCGAATCTATTAGGCATCAATTCCGCCGCACCGCTATTGGCCTCTGCCGGAATATATTAGGAACCAATCTGCTCTTAGCGACAGCTGAAAAATATTGATCATGGAGCATCTACCAACATATTTTTTAAATTATTTATTTTAAGAATTTGTGTTGTATTAATATTTAACCAACTTTTCAAAGACACTGCATCAATCCTTCAGAAGACCGTGTAAAAATTTTCGTATATATTTATTCAGTACTTTTTGATCGATTTGATGTCTTTCTACGTATAAACTACGATCATTTCCTACGGGTATGATTTGTTTTCCATCTTACTTTCTTGCGTATTAAATACAACTTACCATATACATAGTATAGAGAAAGTATTGCACTGCTCCGTTAAATTTCTATATTTTTCGGTGTCTTCCTACATCCACAATATTGAAGGTAGAGTGTTTTCTTTTATAAAATCTGTTTCTTACAGACAAATCTTTAAATCAGGCCAGGTACAATTTTTCGAAAATATGAGTCTTTTTCGTGTGATTACGCATGAAATGTAGGCAATTTTAAAACATTTTCTCAAAATGGATTCATTTTTTTTTTCGAATAGAGGAAAATTCGGTTACACAAGTAATACATGTTCCATTTCGATTTATTTTCTGTGTTTTTGAAAATTGCAAAATTGCGTTATTGATAATAGAGATTCTTTTTCTTCATGAAACATGTTCTTCAAAATTAGATCTCAAAATAAGATAGGTCGTTTTCAAGTTTTCTGCTCGAAGTAATATAAAAGTTATATTTTGTTTCTCAAGAAGTCTCCAAATTTTACCATCAATGTTTTTTCCTTGGATAGAAAAATGAAAATATGGATATAAAAATGTTGCAGGTTTCATTTTCTTTGAAAAATGTCAAATGTTACAAATAATGTAAGAAACTGTATGTTGTTTGAGCATCAGTAATTTCTATTCCAAATATATTTTAAATGAAATGCTAGTGAAATTTGAACATTTAAAAAAAATTATTTTCTCACGTTTTTAGATAAATTCTACCATCTAGTACTTTAGATACGAGTTTTACAGCAATATCCTAATAATAGAAAAGGCAGAGAATTAAATTTACTTTCAATTTAATTATTATTTGCTCTTCTATATTTAAATGATCTAGTAATAGAATTTGAAATGTGTGGGCAGTTTCAATCAGTGTTAAGACCTATGTTGAACAGAGATATAATAAAAATATAAAGTAAAAGATATCTAATTTCTTGACGTTTACTTTTGTGATTTTGTAACACACTGAGAAGAAAAATGTAGGTGCCACGTAATCTTGATAAACAATTGTATGAACTCTAACTTAATATTTTAGTTATAAAGGCTTTGAATTAAGTTTATACTAGATTAAAATTTCAATAGTTACCAACTGTTTTACGATCGTGTTGGAGCTAATTTCTATTTGACTGCGTAACAGGAGGGGCTGTAAATAACCAATTCCTCCCGACTTTTCTTCCGCATTTCTTTACAACTCATTTCATGTATGATCCAAAAAATTGTGCGCACCATCGTAGCGTCAAAAAAGTTCATTGGGTCCTTCCTCGACTATTCTTTCTCTCTGGACCTGTTATTGGGACCACCGTCTCTCTCTCTCTCTCTCTCTCTCTCTATATATATATATATATATATATATATATATATATATATATATAATTATATTATATCGTTATCTCGGTCAATCTCGTCATGTCTGTCAGTCAGTGCCCTTTATCCCGTTGGCCAGGGGCACCGTTGGATTCCGGGCTTCCTAGACTGTCACCCATCCAGGAATCTGGGAGGTCTCAAATTCGCTTAACCTCTGTGGCTGTGAGCGTGCTAACTACTACTGTGACGCCGATAAATGCTCGAATGATTGACCGGTCGCGGAGCACTAGTTCTGATATTGCTCAAATACCAGCCAACAAGCATTCACTGATTGTGGCTTGTTCGTCCACTCGACTATGACTTCACATTCACAGAAACACACAGCCTTAATAGGTAGGACAATCTTATCCTAAGTGTTGATTGTCCTGTAGCTCTGGTACCCGCAGCCATTCATCAAACCAACTTTCATTAAAATTTAACAAACAAGAAATATTATAAACTAATGAACGAAAGTTTCCATTTAATGTATTTTTAATTTTTAATTGATTTTCTCTTGATTATGTAGGATAAACAAAACCATAGAATTCAGACAGCAGTTTTACGAAGTACGTGGGAGGTTCCTTAATTGACCTCATTAACTCCTTTATTTTATACAAAGAATAAAATTGTAACTTTTAGTTTCATCATCCTATACTACAACCTACTCTTTACATCTGTATATTAACATTTCTAGGCCTTTGAAAAAATACTCCGAATTTGTGTTCGCAAAGTGGTCGAAAATTGCTTCTAAGGCTTCCGCGGCCAGAGTTATCATCTGGACCGTCCAGGTGACGTCGCGTCTAAGACTGAGGTGAGAGTGTTTCGGCGCGACCAGCTTCCTCCTCTTCAAGGCGTCGGAGTATACTCTATCCCTGACAGCTGCGGTCGTACTTACATCGAGGAGACAGGAAGAATCGTAGACGAAAGACTACGCAAGCACATTCGGGACTTCAGATTCAAAAATGTAAATCTCTCCGCCGTAGCTCTTCGTGCTCGAGAAACTGGCCACGACTTCCGTTTCGAAGAGACCAAGGTGCTCACTAGAGAGGACAGATGGTGGCTCAGACAGATCAAAGAAGCTTTAGATATTGCTAAACATCCCCAGAGCATCAACGGGGACGCGGGGTTACGTCTCCACGGTGCGTGGCTCACACGTTTGCAGGGTTCGACAAAGCGGGAGGCCGCCCGCCCGAACCATCCCATGCCGTCCAATTCCAGAGCATTCCTTGCTGCCCAACCGCCATCCACACGATTGGTCGACTCCTAAGCCTATCACAAACTGCTCCGGCCCCGCCTGATTAGCCCGCAATCTAGCCTGGTCCATCTCGAACATTAAAACCGGTGCGCTCAACATCCTGGCGCACTACAGCTCTGAAGGAGACCAAGATATGTTGGTGAAACGTTGTCACCTCAGCCTTCTACGCGGTGGCGTCCGGGCAGCCAGGTCTAAAACTGCTTCTTTCACCTCACTCTCGTCTGAAATTCTTCCCCGAAGGTTTTTCTTCAGTTTTGATAAGTGGTAGACGTTCTTGGGTTCCCAATCTGGACTGTAGAGGGAATGGTCCAACTCCTTAAAGCCACAGTCCTTCACAACATCATTTGCAATCTGAGGAGTCAGGACATGAGCGTTGTGAGGAAGCTAAATACAATGAAATTTCACAGGTCTGCAGATCTAAACTCACGTTCTCCATATTCACTTCTACTGACAAATAGGCAACAACGAGGGTATTTCTGACGAGTAAGGAGATTGCTTGTTGGCAATGCCAGGGCACTTTGTCCTTTGATCCTTTGTACCACTTCTGAGATGGGATGAAATCGCTGAGAATATTTAGATGGCAATTGTTCTGGAGTATTTGTGAGAGTATTAAACATTCGAATAAAATGAACATGGCACATCGTATTCTAGAGCAAAACTGAAATTTGTTGATATCAATTTTCAGGTGTTTCGGAACAAACAAAAAGTTGTTTTTTCTCCCACAAAATTAAATTTTAAAACTAAACGAATGTATTGTTGAACAAAAGGATGTAAAAGGAAGGTTTGGAAAGTTGAGTTTCTATTTTAAAGAAAAAATTCAAATAAGAGATTGAATAGTTATTTATTTAGCTGAAGAAGAAAGTGTTTTGTTTACCAGAGGCCGTAAGAGTACGAGCGGTAGGGAGAGTAGTATCCAGACAGGTAGGAGTTGTATCCATAGTAGGGGTAACCTGTAACAAAAAATAGATTCGTTACAAACATCGACTAAAATGCCCAACGCATTGAACAAAACACATATGAATAGGAAGCTGCTTTACATTAGGTTGGCATATACCAAACACCAGCCTAATTTAATAATTTAATATTTTCTTTTGATAATTTGATGTATGATTTCATTTTTATCCTACGACAAAAGGTCAGGTAAATGCATCGGTTTAATTCTTTTTATAATGGAAATAAATAAAAAAATTAAATTCTTCCTACATAACTGCTTTAATCCCCAAAACAATATAGAAATAAATTAGTAATACAAGCTCACATTAACGAGTGAATAAAAGAGATGTTCAAAATAATAATAATTGAAATGACGTCCAAAACATGATAATAGAATTTTGATATTAGATTTTTGTTTCTTATTTCTCTTTTTTATTTAGTCAATCAATTTGCTACCGTAAGTCATTTAGCCTAGTTGCAAAAATAATTCGCCATGATTTTTTAAGAACTATTATCCCGAAAACAGGTAAATATCTTTTTTTCAAAAATTGCTTTAAATGCTCACAACAAAAACATTTTCCATATTTATGAAGATGATGAAATAACGAGCCATTCAACCATGGAGTGGGTCTTTCGTTTGCATCCTAAAATTGAGCCTAACATTATATTTTTTTTTAAAAATTCTGGATGTTTTACCTAGAACGACCTAGAGCAAGTGGAAATTCGATTTTAAAATTATTTTAAAAAAGTACTCGGTCGCACCAAGTTATAAAATTGCCGTAGGATTAAAGGTAAGGGGACAATACGTACTTAATGATAAAACCAAAGGTGCTACAGCTCTTTGCAAAATATTTAAAAATGATAAATCACCTATTATTTCTGTTGTATAATTATGATGTGCGGCCTTTGTACCCAACCAGTCTTAACAAATGAGATGCCAAAAGAAGAGAAGTTTTCGGCGAGGTGACGAATTGCAATTTCTCTTTATGAATATTCATATTGGCACTTGAAGAGTTTTAATGAATAAATGTGAATATTTGTTGAAAATGCACTTAGGCTAGCAACTTACGAGTTAGTCGCACGCAACTATAACTTAGTCCCTCAATACACGACTCTCCTAACGGCCTCCTTTCTGACATCGTGCGTAACTCGGGGGCGCAGCGTTGGATGGAACTCTTTGCCTGCGACGCCGACGCTCCGGAGGCATGTTGCCCGCGCCCAAGTCTACAAAACGAGAACTTTTTATACATTTTTAGGTCTTGTAATGCATTTTTCTTGTAATCCACTCCGAGGGGAGGGTTGGGCGTAGAGTTACTCAAACTTAGAGACGAGCAACCCCTCGAATCGAACTAAAAAGTGATTCGCTAAAATATTACGCATTTCATACGGCTGTGAGGAGACGGCGGAGGTCGAGTGTCCTCATACCTGATTCCCGCACGGATACGCAAGTGGCTATACTACAAATTTCAAGATGGAAGTTGTAGACAGAGTGAGAAAAAACGGAGGATTGGAAAAATTGACACAGTAAACACGAAGACAAAGAAAAAGAGGAGGGGGAAGAGGCAATTATTGAAGAAACGAAAGAGAAATTGAAGAAAAGGAACAAAAAGTAGAGAAGATGACGGGAAAGGGAGAGAAAAAGGGAATGGAGAAAAGAAGAGAGAGAGAAAAATAACATAGTAAAATAGATGAGTAACCCCCTCCAATTATGGGTGTGACAAAACAGCCCTAGCAAAAATTTGCCAACGTTGGTGAAAACAACACGCGCTTCTCAACGACCCCCAACTTCCACGCGCGAGTGCGAACGCTTCTGGAGCCTTAGGAGCCGTACCGTAGGAGCCGTAGGAGCTGTAGCCGTAGTAGGGGTAGCCGCCGTAGGCGCCGTAGCCGCCGAGGCCAAGGCCGCCGTAGTAGCCGCCCAGCCCGCCGTAGTAGCCCGAGGCGGCGCCCTTGAGGTCGCCCGCGCCCTTAAAGGGGCCCGAGATGGAGGAGGCGGCCGCGCTCACGCCGGCTGGCCCGGGGCCGGGCATAGCGGCGGCCACGGCCAGCACCAGGGCGAACAGAGCGACCTGCCAACACACACATGCACTCAAATAATTCAATAACCATATAAATAAAACAAATAAAATAAATGAAATAAATGAAATAAATAAAATAAATAATATAAATAAAATAAATAAATAAATAAATAAATAAAATAAACAAATAGTAAAAATAAATAATTAAAATAAATAAAATAAATAAATAAATAAATAAATAAATAAATAAATAAATAAAATAAACAAATAGTAAAAATAAAAAATTAAAATAAATAATTAAAATAAATAATTAAAATAAATAATGCCTATCAGATGGCCGGAACCGCCGAGAAGGCAGAAGTGCCGTAGAATGCAGTGCGTCGTCCTTTCACCCCTTACTATCATCATCATTTTATCTTCCACACCATTCCCCAGGGCTAACAACCCCGGAGTGTAAAAATGGGCACAGCAGAAATTCTGATCCAATCCTAATAAAAATTCGCGTGCATGCCCTCAGGAAAAAATATAATTGGGCCATGGTAGGTACAACTGCACGTTTGGGTGGTCTTTAGAAGGCCAAATCGTGACGAAAGAAATATCAAATAAATGAAATAAAATAGAATTAAACCAAAAACTGAACAAACACATCTTCCACTCTGTAATATTGTATCGGACTCAAATACTTAAGTTGTGGAAAGAAATCAGAAACTTTTAAAGGCAAAAAAAAAAATCCTTCCTACACCTGTCTTCGAAACGAAAGTGAAGATGTTTTTTCCTGTGCCGCAGGTTTGCATATATGAAAGAACGACAAGTCTAAATGACTACTCTGAATAAAATTGCAAAACTTGTCGTTAACACTTTAAAAGGGAATAATGATGATGAGGGCGGTACTCAATACTGATCTAGGGGATGGAGGAGTCGTGGAATTTTACATCCTCTTTCACTGACCGGTGATGGCAATAGTGGTTCGGGATTGTATTTCACGGTATGTGTGACTACAGGGAGATCATAAGGTCTTAATATGGATGAGGAATGAATGCTTGATCAAGTGAAGGTATGACTGCTATGGAGAAAACAATCCCATCACAAACACTGAATGAAAACATCCCTGCTTTCCTTGCAAACCGCAGTCTGTGGCTTCACGTTTTAGGACGTGACGTTTTAGACATACTAACTTATTTTTACTAATTTATTTTTCCTTATTTTTATTTAACGTAAAAATGTGTATGGCTCATGCGGGGGGAGTAAGTACTGGGTTTTCTATGACTCCGGAATTTCTAAACTAAGTTGAATTATCTTTTACAAAGCAAGTTAAAATAACGTTTCAAAGGTTTCAAATAGCGTTGTTGGCAAAATTTTATAACAAATTTCTTTAATTGAAAAATATAGTAAAACGTCTTAAGGAAATTTTAGGGGGGGATTTTGAAGGGAATTTTAAGATAGGGTTAACAGTTTATGTTGCTAGAGAAATGTCGCTTCAGTCGAATACGTAACCAGACAGGAAGAAAAGGAGCTTGGAAACACTACCGGAAAAGAGTTACAATCTTCCGACAACAGAGAAACAAGGAAATGCACTTTCCTACGGGAGTTATCATTTCCTCTCGCACAACACCGCAGTTCACGTCTGCTATCGCTGCGGATGACCCGAGTGAACAGGCTTCACGTACGGGTGGAAGACAGTCGGGAGATTTTGTCACTCCTTTTTTACTCTAAATATACAGAGCTTATTTGCTGGAAACGAAATCGCTACATCCAACGCGCTGGTGAACGTACGATCAAAACACATTAAAATAGAGGGAATAAGCCACATACCGAAAATGTTCCTCCTCTTCGTTTTATTACTAAAAATACTCTTTTTAAAAAATTTGTTTATCTTTAAGGATCGAAAATTTGGGGATAATTGTCCTAGAGAAAGATCTCTCTGGCACTAATATTGAAGGTGCCCGAGATATATTTCAGGTATGAAAATTCTTGAACTTTTCTATTTAGAAAATATCAGAGGTTTCATTCCAAATTAGAAGTTCCATATTTATAAAAGCACTTTCTTTTTGTTTGAGAAAAAAAATATTTGAAGAAAAATTGTAGGTATTTTTCAGAAAATTCGGAAAATATCACAGGATCTTTGTTAGAAATACTCCCCAAACCAAAATATCTTAATGATCCCCCAACTACACATCTTATTACAGACGTGTTTACCAAGTTTGAGGTCAAAGGCAGATCTTACAGTTGCGAATCACACATTATTTGGTTCATACGTAAAGATTTTGATGTACCATATAGAATGTGTGCAAAGTTACAGATCAATAGAACTTTACATCCGAAATCTACCAAACGTTCAAAATCGTATCGTTAAAAACAATTAAATCTCAACAACACTCTAAAGCTATAAAAGTAAATAAATTTAATAAAAGTAACCAACTTAAATATATGCATTGATGTATTTTTTATTATAAAAAATTACAATCGGTAATTTTTCTAACCGTTTCCTAGCAAATAATTGAGGAGAACGTGGACGTCTTTGAGAAATGCAGGCTCAATTGCAGGAAAGTTCTACTGCAATAATGTTTTACATTTTGTTCTAGAATACAGTAGAGGAAAATAGAAGTTTTAATGTTTGTACAGCGCCAAGAAAAAATAATAGATGCAAGTTTATTACAGCAATCATCTAATTTTATGCTTTATTCCTTCATTACATGAGAGATATACTGGAAATGCTTAAGTTGTTGTATCCGCTTTCCAAGGCTCTATCATGTTCAGCGTGGGAACCGAAATCTTTCTCAGAGAAGAAAGGAAAGATTGGCGTTGTTCTTTCCAGAGAGCAAGGCAAGTGATAGTTGAATTTTATTTCTTGTGAGAGTTTACGTTTATCATTGAATATAAACTTTTACTTTTTCAGAAGAACGACGAAACATTTCTTTTTAATTTTCTGAAAACATTACTTCCTTAGATACATGACTTAAATTTGAGTTCAAATTATTTAAACTAAAAACTATTTGCAATATTTGTCAGAATAAATTATTTCCAAAAAAAATTCTTAAAACAAAAACCAAAAAAATCACGACATTTATTTTAGGTTTTCTGAACTCGATTGGGGGGTATCGTAATATGAAACTTATCGCTTACCCTCCAAGTTTGAAACACGATACATTTCTTACCAATTTTATACATTGTACACTTTAGATTTACCGCTAGAGTGGCGCGGAACCCATATATTTAAAAGGTTTCTCAATATTTATCAACAAAATTTTGTTATTAAGAATTTACTTATGTTGACGTGTATAGAAGAGAAAACTTGTATTTATACTTCTCACCTGCTATGTATTTATTACGTAGAAAAGAGAAAGTTTTGTATGATGCGACAGATATAGGTGATTTTTCTATTCATATTGTTGGTTAACAAAATACTGGTTAAATCGTATTCCTATACACAGTAACTCACGTCCTCTAGCATGATGTGCAGTCAGAATACACGTTGTATGTGTATTTGAAACCGAAAAAGTGATTGACAGCAAAACATCTATCTGGGCGTCTGTGGTCAGTACTACCACCTAAACGACTTTCTCCAAAATTGACATTTGCTGATCGACATATACCACTCTAGGTTCTGCGAGTTAAAACCGTATATTTTGATTGCAGAAACTTTACATAAAAACGCAACATTTTCAAAATTTTCTCAAATGGTTCCAAATTTTTTCTTAATGATTTCCCTTCGGATGTAGCAAAAGATGGTAATAATTGATGCTGGATCTGCTTTCGGCGAACTTTCAAACAATGTAAAAAATTAACATGGCGTAAGTACAATAATATACTGACAGTTATTTCTGAAATGAAACTGTTCTAAAAATTAGATCTATAAATAAGACAATGTAATAAAAAAAATATGAGTAGTTTTTTCAAAATTTCCACTTGACGTTATGAAATTTATAAAATAATTCTTAAAATTGACTCTAATTTTTTTCTGTAACTTGTATGGGACATTTTAGAGTATAAAATGCTTAGAAATGACGCAGGACTCATTTTCAACTTTCTGGAGTATTGAAAATTGGAAAAGTTGGATATATTGCGAGAAAGTCTTTCCTGTGGAAGCACCACTAGTTTTATATTTTATCGAAGATTAGTTTCTAAAAATGCTATGATTAATTTTCAAATTTGAGAACATTAAATTAATTGAACATAATTAATTGAATTATTCTGATGGTCAATGAGTTTAGTTCTAGTTTTGATTTCAAACGTTAAATACCAATAAATTTAAATACGTGGGCTTTGGGATCAAAGAGTATGGCAGTTTGAGTTTCAAACAGACTACATTTTTTAAATTCAGGAAAAATGTATTTCATATTAGTATTTTTTAACATGAACACACTTCGTTTTAAATAAAATCATGAAATATTTAAATTATACGATGAATTAAATAATAACAAAAAAATATAACTTATTTGGTTTCATTTCGTATCTTTTTTGCAGTCTCTATTGCATTTTGTCATAAACGAGTAAAATTGCCGAAGTCCAATGTATATTTCTAATTTTCAATTTTTTTTCTTGAACAATTCCTTATAATTTTTCTTGAAGTCTTAAAACGAAATTTTTCGTCCAGAATTTGTTGAATTGAACTCTAATTTCCGGCGGGAGTACTCACGGAGCGGTGGAAGGCCATGTCAGCGGTGGACGTGAGCGGTGGGCGGTGGGCGGTGGCTGCTGCGGAGGCGGTGGCGGCTGCACTGTGCCCGGTGGCGGCGCCCGCCGCGTTTATACGGACGGCGCGACCTCGTCGCGGTGCCGGCGCGGGGGCGGCGTGGGGGCGGCGCGGGGGGCGGGGCTCTTCGTTAGCACGCTCGCTCATTATGCGCACGCCTCCCCTTCCCCACCCCCGGTGCGTGAGCACGCGTGTCGCCACCCGGTCACCGTGCGAAGTCCGTCGCCGACGGAAAGCGCAGATTTGCTGCCTTCGCGTGACTCGGGTGGCGTACCGTTCGCCTTGCTGGCGCACGGGGTTTGACCGCTAGTACGTGGACGATCCCGGCCGGTTCGAAGTCCCAGCATGATACGGGGTGGATCACGGTTTGGATGGCTTCTCATGGCACCGATCACTACTGATACGTCATTCCGTACATTTTGATTCATCCCTCATCACCCTTCATGACCAGCTTCGGTGGCTCAGGGCATCAGTTGATTTCACTGCTGTGCTCCTGACAGGGAGGTCCTAGGATTCGGGTATCAACGGTGGCAGGATTTTCGGCGCTAGCTTCATAGATAGTTGGGATTCAGCCGCTCTCTTGAGGATAATTCGGGCGGCCGGATACTCTTGAGGTAGTTTTCTGTGGTTTATCCCATCAGCACCAGGTGAATACCGGAGAAGAACCCTAACAAACAGGCCACGGACCGCGAGCGACTTTTCCTTCTAGTCCTTTCCTCAGCCCTTGCTTACACACACTCACATACTCCACCACACATGTGAGGAACCAGTCGGGAGCTTAGAGCATGGTCTGGCTGGGGCAGTTCTCAGCTGGTGGGAAATACCTGGTCGAGGAAAATCCTTACAAGCCGTCGCACGTCGGTGCCGGATCTCCTCAGCATTTCTGGTAGTATTACAAAATAATGAAAAACCTTCGTCCCAATAGGTCTATTTGCTATTTTATCGGGTGAGATAACGAATGTTCTAGCACCTCCTTAATTGAGGTTACGTTAGAGTTACCTAGTTTCGTAGATAGGTGGTTTCGAGGTTTATGAATTGACAGAGACTGGAAATCGGCACTAACGGACTAGCTTTCTCGTCGCTACTTAGATGAGAATTCTAGACTTGGACAATTCTGATCGGTCGTTTTTGTGTTTCCCTTCGATCAGGGCCTAGCAAATGACGGAGCAGTTCCTTAAAGAATCTCTACCTCAATCCATCTCGGACGTCTCGACCATGTTTGTCCCTGTTGGATGTAGAGATCCGGCACCGACTTGCTCGTCATTTCGGGGAGATTTCCTCCTCTAGGTGCATCGCCGCACCCGTGACAAACTCTAAGCTGCCGAATGGTCTTTCGACACGTGTGGTAGCGACACGTGAGGAAATCATCTAACCAGTTAATATTAATAATTTCAAATCAATATATTTGGAATCAATATATTTAAAATCAATATATTTGGGCAAAAATCGACTTGTTTCATAATTAGTTCAATTAGGGTCCAAAATCGAGTTCGTATGCTTATTTAATTGATTAGAGATTTTTAATTGTAGATTAATATCAGTTTTTGTGTTTTGACTCAAAAAAAGTAACAATATGGGTAGAAAACAATAATCATTATGTTATCAGATGTAACAATGTCCCTAAGGAGGAAAAACGATTACATTATTTGAGGCAAAGTAGTTTTTAATTTAATAAGGGACTAGCGTACCCGTGCGAGTTATCCCGCATGTTAAATCCCACCCTCTTCCCTATCCTTCCATTTCCATATTTAGGGGAGACGTTGTTAACGAAACGTGTTTATTTGTTTATAAATTGTATAACGGTAACTTCGAATGTACTCACGGAATATCAATAGAAAAAAAGTACTTTCTACTATGAAAATCAATTAGAAGTACTGCTAAGTTATAAGATTTATAAAAAATATAAACGTACTTTGAAGGAGAGCTAACTCAGTAGCAGAAGATGTCTGAAATTTGTATACTATAGAAACGTCACTAATTCATAAAAGGAACATGTTTCTTGCCAGGATGTCAAATATTCGAAATATTATTACATCTAAGAGAAAATAAATAACCCATCTAATTTAAAATTATTGCATACTTTTCTAAATTATTTACTTAATATTTCATATTCTTCCAAACTTTCTTTTTACGTCTATTGTGCAGTATCTATCTTTGTGTATTAAGGAAGTTTCATAATTTCGAAAGCTTGGGAGCAGTAATTTTTTGTTACAGTTATTGCAGACGACGATGGGTATTTTACCGAGAAATGATCTTCCGTTAAAAACCTAAGTTCCCTTTATCAAAGCGTATGAACTATGAAAGAGAATTGAGACACTGAAATTGAATTGATCTGAAAATGATTAGTGCAGGATTAATTAGATTTGCGACATAAATGTCACCACTAATTTATTGTATCGAAGCAAATTAAGAAATTTCTACGTCTCTTTCGACCCACAACCTTTACATGAAAACTAGTATTTGTCAGCAGCTTGCATTACGTTTCCCGAATAAAAATAATATTTGCTCCTCAAACGAAGAGAACTGCATAAGTACTGAAAGACTAGATTGAGAAATCATTAGCCAGTAAATTAAGTAATCGTAGTGTCAACACTTCGATTAGAAACCTTTAGAATTTCTTATACAACATATGAAGTTTTCAAAAGGTCAATCCTTTCCTACATTTTCAACGTCGGCATATCACAGAAAGAAAAATTCTTTGCAAGGTCAAATATGAGATACTAATTAAAAATCATTAAATCTTAAAGAGCAAATATAAAAACATTTTAAAAGTTTTTTTTTTTAAATTTAATATACAACTTGTTAAGAATTATCATCTAATTATAATAATAATTTTAGAGAGAAAGTTTCACATTTTTGAAAATCCAAAAGAATTCGGTTGCCAATCATATAAATATTCATGGACGCATATTCAAATTGTTCAGTTTTGAATTGTAAGTTAAAAGCTAAAATATATTATTATAAATAAATATAATATTAATGTTTACTTTTCTGTGGAAACGATTGAAATATGTGAAGCTTCTAAATGTAATTCTGTGATGCTTTTAATTTGCTTTTACTTGTCAATCATCGAATTAAATGCTCTGCTACGAACTAAATATAATTATTCAAATTTAAAAATAAAAAATTGTATTAAAATATTACTTAATATTACTGAAACATTATCACAGAAGTTGATTTCCGGGACTGTCTATTTCGTTTCAACTTGAGAATGTTCCAGAAGTTATTACTGACAGTTGACTTACTTTTATTGGTTTATTGATATGAACCAGTAACCGATAAAAATACTAGTTAAAGCCATCGTTTCGAGATTACGTTTTGTCTCATTTTCAAGGATCATATATGTTGGAAGTATAAATGAATATAATAAAATGTAAAACAGAATAGTCCCTCCTACAATCTCTTGGTATCAACAAACAATTTCAAAGGCATAACTTTAAGTACGAATGAATTGTAAGAAAATATAGATATAAACGTACCCTCTGGCAGGCAAATTCAAAAATTCAAAATTACTAGGTCTCTAAAGAAAGAGAATTTCACGGAGGCATGATTAATTGCACTTAAACTTTAAAATATGAAGGGTTTATTTAGAAAACGCATTTGAATATGCAGGTCAAAAGTGCACTCATGCAGAATTTGTAGTTTACTAACTCCTAAACTAAGCGTTAAAACCTTAACTTTTTAGGCTATGCCTCCAAGAAACGTTCTTCATTATCTACAGAATGAGATTTTATAGACATGCTATTATTTTTTTTTCAATTCGGCGCGACATGATGCTACCACAAAATATTTATCACACAGTGACGCAGCTTCGTGTTAAATGCCCTTTGACAATGTGTTAACTGTTTTCTTCACTTCACAACAACCACTCGCAAAATTTATTTCTGAGGATTTGTTTGTGCGATTGCTGAGTACCAATATTGTGATTAGCAACATTAATTTTCAAAATTTCGTCATTCAATTTGCTTTACACTTTGATACATATTCATTAAAACTGGCAGAACATACATAAGTTTGATCAAATCTGTAGTTCTTAAACCGTTGCAAATAAGTTTTCTATAACTATTGAACAAAAATGTCAAGTTGCTAATCTCGCGCTTTTAATTTTTTTAAATTTCTTTTAAATTTTTATTAATATTTCAACTATTTATAGTTAAAATGTTGGGAAGGGATTATGGAACTCAAAAAAACGCGCGCAGATGATCTTCTCCCCCGTCACAGTTTTCACGAGTTTTTGACTAAATAAATACAAAATAAATAAGTTATTTTGAACATTTTCGAAGCAATAAACTTTTTGTCCTGCCTTCTTCTAGGTTCACACTAAACAAGTTTCTGTATTTTTCACAAGAATGGAACTCCATAACTTTTATACAAAACCAACAATATATTGCTTGGAATTCATTTCTTCTAAATCCATATTTAACTCCATACACTTGTTTCTGCTAGGGCTAGATATGAAGCAATATTTTTCCCCTAAATGTGAGACTGATACTTTGTTCTGACAATTTCTGTACCTCTTATGAAGAAAATATCAAGAAACAACGCTAATTATTTTTCAAATGCTTAACCTGTTGTTGAAACTGCAACTTCACACACAATTCAATGTACTTCAGCAACGCCCGCTGGAAAGCAAATCGGCGTTGACTTTGCGGATGTGGGCGTTTTTTACAGACGATGTTGACATCAGCTGATCCGTAGTTTTACGTTACGTCCACAAGGATTACTAGCTATATGCGCGCGCAACTCTTAACTGGCCAAAAAACAGGCTGAGCTGCGCTACTGTATAATACTATCCCACGGCACGTTCAGAGACATACAGAATATGCAACTGTATGCAAATTTAAACTAATTACTTGATAAGAACTGGTGAAAACCAGAACGATATTAGTGACATTTTATACATTCTAAGGAAAAGTGTATACTTCAGGCTATATTTCAGTGGCAGTGAAATTTCATGGTTTTAATGAACAATTAAAATGCAATAGTTTTAATGATGAAACCAACCACCATCACGACAACCACTGTCTCTCGCGTCGCGAATATTTAAATTTGCGGCGATTTGTTCATATTGTTGTTTTTATGAATACATGTGCGTTCAATAATGTCAAATAAAGATTCTCGAAAACTCAAAAGTTTTCTGCGACAAA